AGACCAGCTCAACTTAGTTACCTCTTTAGAGTGTGTTAGTAATGTTACTTCTCAAGAGTATTCAAGTTCTAAGAACTCTTTTAGAAGCCAGAAATATTCCCTTTTCCATGAAATATGACTAACATTTTGAAGTAGGCACCAACATGATTTTGAGGATAGGGGAGGGAAACACAAGTCAGCCAAAAAAAATAAATAAAAGCTTGTTAGTGACAAAATGTGACAAAAATCTCACTTCCCTTAAAGAAAGAAGTTGTGGTTTGAGGTCATGATGTAATTTCAGCTCCTGGTTCTCTACTAGTTATGCAAACTTGGGCGTTTTATCATCAGTAGTTTTAGGTTTCCATGCTCATTTATTTTATGAAAAACAAAACCATAGTGTTTGTTTCGTTCTGTATTTTACTTTATACGAGAACACAAATGGCAGTCCTATTTTCCCATAAGCAATTTAGAGAAAGTTAACTTACAGAGAAGTGCCTTCTGATTAAAATGTTCACGCTGGAACCATTCTGTATTCCTGAGCTAGAAAGTATCAGAAAACCCCTGTGTCCCAGTTAGGAAATCCGGATTCAAATTCTGACTTGTCCAAAAGCTTTAACACCAGAGATGTATTAATTACACTGAGTTAGTTTCCTTAACTACAAAATACACTGATTAAAATTATAACCAATGCTAAGATTTTTATTGTGATTCAAGCAAAATAATGTCTATGGAAAGGAGCTCATAAGGAATAAAATGCAGATGGACACAAGACTGGAATTACGAGCTGTCTTCAAAGAATTGGCTTTTGTGAAGGGGTCAGCCCCCTGAGTTGGCAGGGTTATAAAGTTATATACGGACATTCAAGTGTCAGTGCAACATTTGTCAAGTTAAAATAATGTTGCCTTTGGGCTCATCTCTGTGCAAAAAATACCATGACTCCCTCCTCATGAAGCATGAAGTACCTTCGTTTCTGGGCGTCTCCCAAGACTGCACTACAAGGACATCCAGAACACATAGTGGTGTCCCAGCGCTTGGTCCAGGGCACAGCCGGTCACAGCTCAAGTCTCCTATCACTCAGCAAGAACTAGAGAGCAGTTCTTCTAGTTTTAGTTTGCTCCACTCTTTGAAGATTCTCTCAAAAGGATGCAAACTCACACAGGAAGACAGGAGACCATATGTAAGCTTTATTGAGACATTACAGTAGACAGACAAGTGGACGAATACACACCCTATAATCTACATTCTTCTGGATGATGCAGAGAAGGGACAAGCTGAACAGCCTGGCCTCTACTTCCCTTTGGACATGGTTAATACTGGGGTTTTTCAGACTGACATACTCTAGGAAGGAAAAAAGTGGAACCAAAGGAAAGTAGAGGGTGGGCAGTAACCCTTCCCATGAATGAAGAGATCGCAATGCGTAGCTAAGAGCCCTTACCGACCTGCAGGTCAATTTGTTTCAAAACTGTTCCTGATGGTAAAAGATCACTTTCCTCCTTATACCCCTAAAAGGCAGAGACAAGTCAAGTGTTTCTTCTTCACCTGGGCTATCAGAACCTCTGTGAAGCAACATACAATCCCGACAATGGGTCCAGATATTAACTCTTGAAATACAAGGCCTAGGTCACACACACACCCTTTTCTCTTTCTCATCTCCCACAAATCTAGATTCTCAGAAAAACTCCAGATGATTCTTGTATTGATTTCAGACGTTGTTTTATGACCAGTGCATAATCTATTCCTTAATTCACAACTTGTTACTTCTGTCAGTGAACCAGGAAATTGTCCAAAAAAGAGAAAAATAGAATCAAGGCTGTTGTTGATTTTGATTACATTCCCAAAAAGTAGTTTAGGTAGAAGGTAGAGAGCATACCTGTCAAAGTTGAATAAATACCACATAATCAAAAAAGTTACTCTCAGGTTGCCAAATAAATAAATAAAAATCCTTAGCTCAACCTTGTAAGGTCTAATGGTTTCCCCAATTATACCTATAATCTTTGCATGGAAAAAGCAAAGTGAGAAGACATGTTAGTCAAAATGACGGCAAACCTAGAGCTTTGGACACAACTCAAGGGACCGGCATATGCCTGGCCTCAAAGAAGCCTTGGGTTCAACACTCAGCACCTGGGGAGTGGTGGGGGGATATCTATCAATTCGATCTCACTCAGCACCTGGGGAGTGGTGGGGGGATATCTATCAATTTTATCTGTTCCGTTGTTTGGCATTTCTGTGGATAGAATTACCAGAAAAGGCCATATTATCACAGTGAGGTAAAATATTAAGTATAAAAATAAACACCATAATTATAATCCATCCCAACTAGTCCCATAGATCAGCAAACACAAGGCTGAAAATATCAAACAGTAGAAAAGGGAGAGCTACAATAGAATACGGGCTTTGAATTTTTTTCAAATTATAGTAATGCCATTTATGTTAATAATTTTAGATTTCTTTGGAAGAATAAGCCCATAAATTCATGTCTTCAGTCATGAACATAGGCCAAAGCTCTTTGTCGAGTCAGTCTTTTTATGCTGCCGGTCTTGGGGTTTGAACTCAGGGCCTCGAGCTCTTGTTTAGCTTTTTTGGTCAAGACCAGTGCTCTACCACTTGAGCCACACCTCTACTTCCAGCATTTTACTAGTTAGTAGGAGATGACAGTCTCAATGGACTTTTCTGTCCCTGCTGGTTTCAAACTAAGATTCTCAGACCTCAGCCTCCTGAGTATAGGATTATAGGCCACAAAATCTCTTTGATATTAGTAGCAGATAATTATCTAGCTTCTGTACCTTTCTCCCAAAAGGTTGATTACTCCAATTATTAGATCAATGTAATTGATAGCTAATAGTTATTGAGTGTATACTCACCGCCCGATAGGTGACTCCTGTCATCTATAAGATAACCTCGCAGCAGACTTCTATCAACACCCTTTTCACAGGCAAATGTATTTAAATGTTGTTTCTTTTGCATTCCCTTGGTGGGCAATGTGCAGGCACTCATTTTGGGCACAAAGGCTGCGTCACAGATAGGCTTATATAAAGCATGCTGAGGTGGATGTTAGGGGCAACTGAGGTTTGGATACTCCTTTCTTATTTGGGTCATCAGTTTGTACCAGAGCACTTACAAATCACCAGGTGCAGAGCCAATGGCTTAGCTATAGATCCAGTTAGGGGTGGAGCCCAATGAAAATGCATTTTCTCCTTACAGGGAGACTTGGAAAATCAGTATAAGAGGTGCACAAATCAAGAGAATGTATGTACTGAAGTGTAACCGAGTATTTAATTTCATTTCATTTTGCCTTACTCTGCATATGTCCCCGATTACCTTAGCACTGGCAAGCGTTGTACTACTAATAAGCCCCCAGAGTCCCATTAAGTAAAGGGTACCCTTGGTCAAATGTGTATGCACATTTGAAAAGGAATTCCTTTTTCTAGGATTATTATTAACAATGTAAGACCAGAGAGGTAGGCTCTTCTCATATAAACTGATTCCCGACTAGCCATTCCTACAAGTGAGGGTTATCTGGGAAGGGGTTTTAGCCATCTAGGTGATGTAATGTGGGAGCACACACACGCCTCTGGCCAGAGGACCTCTGTCAGCAGGGATGGATGCAGGTGCTAAAGCACTGGTTCACAGCCTGTTTTCTGCCAGGGTGTGATGTCTGGTAGAACGCCTACTTCCTTCTGCACACAGGAAAACCTGCCTGACCATGTGCAAGCAGGGCTGAGTGCACCATCAGGGGCCCGCCTCTCAGCTGATTCCAGGGCTATGGTGCCGTGTGCCACTACCACCGACACTCGGACCTGCTGCTCTAGGGAGCAGTGGCCAGTGTTTCTTAGACCACGGCTTCTGCTATGGAGGAAATAAATCCGGCTCAAGTTAGAGCGAGCACCACTCTCATTCTCGGCTAACATATACTTGGTGAAAGCGGCTTTTTATGAAAGTAGCATAATCCTCTGACTCTGGAGGAAACTGCACATTCATAGAACGTTTCAGCTGGAGAGGGCTTTAGAGCATCTAGCAAAATGCTTCATTTCATAAATGAGAAAGATGGGGCCTAAGGAAGTAAAAGAACTCACCCTGCCATGTGCCAGATCAAAGGCATAGGCAAACTGTTATATGTAAGAAATTCAAAGTAAAAATGGACAGAAACTGACAGTTCAAAGATGACACAGAGAGTGCAGCAGTATTAACAGCCAAAGAAGTACTGACATACATGGAGAAAAACCTCAGGATTAAATGTAAGTATGAAATCCAGCTAAGCTCTCTGACAGAAAGCTGAGAAACTGTGAGAACTTAAATCCTGAAAAATGCATGAAGACTTACAAACAGATCTTTATGTCTAAGAGACTGCAGTTGTCTAGTAACTAATGTTCAATTTAGAGGACAGAACTAACAGTAGCCTATGTGAGGAAATCGGAAAGCACAAAGAAAGAACATTAGTCCATTATACTTCGTTAGGGTTAAGTTCTATGCTTACATAAAGCTCTTTGCTATCAAAAGTCAAAAAAAAAACTCTGTGGCTTAAACAATCAGTTATACAACACAAGGGTCACTCCCAAGCTTTCTAGTACAGGTAGGAGTTTCTGTACATTCCTCTATTCCTAAGAGCATTCTTCCTTTCCCAAGATGTCTGCCCATCAGAAGACTACAAGAAACAGGAGAAACCCAGAAAGGAAGCGAATCTTTGGTTTCCTTGTCAGGGAAGTCCTTTGCTGAAGGAACTGTCTCCACACAGGTCTTCTGTGCTCACTCTGCTGGGACAAGGCTGCAGGCTGGGAAAGAGCAAGACATTTTAGGCTAGAAAGGGAGTGTTCAGGCACTTGTCAGAGGTTGGAAAATGATGGCACATGTGAACCATCAGCCATGCACAAAGTGGTCAGAGACACCACTTCTCAACAAGCATGTTTTTAGAACTCATTATGTTTTACAAAACCTGTGATCTGAGAAGCTGATGTCAATATAACTAGACGTGGTAGTTTTGGCATATCAAAAGTATTTACATCTCAGCTAACACACAAGGCCAATGAATAGAAAAATTATTTATAAATGCACATATATTTACAATAGCATCCCTAGGCAATAGGGAATACAAAACCTTTGACCTGGTATCAACTGGTCAAACCTGGGATTCTTGCTGCAGACCTTGAATATCAAAGCCTTGTCTGAACTGTCTGCTTAAAACCTCTCAACAATTCCAGTCACACTCGCCTTCGAGAGGGCTCCCAAGTTATTTTTGTTTCTCGGAAGGCAAAGAGAACATCAAAGTAGAAGTGTTTTCTCAGGATCCTTCTAGAACTGGGACAAGCAGCAATGGGGCTCTTTCTGGTGGGCAATGCACACCTGGGCACACCCCAGGAGCCACCAGGAAGCACATTTGCCCGAATACTCCTCTTTGATCCATGTATCCACCAGCCACTCCCTCCCTTCATCAGGAATAAGCCCGCACAACGGCCAGACCTACACTGTGTGGTCAGAAACAAAGGTAAGACCAGCGCTGACCTTGGGGTTCCTTCCGGACGCAGAGGTAGTAAATACAAAACTAATTAAAGTTTCTGACCCTTCTCTTCCTGGAGAGGGCTTCAAGTGCCCTCACAACCATCTTGAATGGCTCGAGTCCTACTGAAATCGTGTAACCTGTGGGCCAGCATGGAGGATGAACAGTCAGGGACCCTCTCCGCCAGACCCTCCTTTGGATGAGGCTGAGGGGAGGAGAGAGAAGGTAGACCTAGTTCTCTGTTTATGTTCCACAGAGGCCGCTGCGCTGTTCCTGAGAACAAAGAACAAGAATTATCAGTGGTTATTATGATTTCAGATTTCATTTTCTAAAAGCTAATGGACTTTTAACCCAATCTTCAAAGAAATAACACCTGATATCCCTGAGTTAACGGCAATGAGATCAAAGGCACACCTGCCACAATTAAAAACAAAAACAAACTTTAAAATATCTTATCCACAGTTAAAATAAAATGAAATAAAAACTGAAACCATTCTTTATCAAATCCATTAACCTGAAACTATGTGTATTTCATGTTCTTCGTTATAAGTCAGTAGATTTGCTGCTTTGAAACTTAAGAACTCTTCACAAAAAGAAAATGACTATAGAGACATATTGTCATGAAAATTCCATGATACACATTTTGTAAATAAACAATCATTTCTTCTAAATTCTAGTATGTAAGAACCAAACAATTAGTAACAAATAAAAAGCACCTATATTATATCAGATTATCTGAACTTTGGTTTTAAAAAAATGCATCTTCATTTATTTACCAGAGTGATGAGCTCTTTTCCAAAGGACTGCTTACTGAGTTATGTTAACTTTATAGCTCTAATTAATCTGAGAAATAAACACCCACAAATAAAAATGAAATCAATGTAAAAAGTAAGTAGGTTTTTGAAGTCTTGATATGCACAGGAATAACTTGAGGGTTTTATTAGAATGTAGACTCAGATTCATTAGGTCTGGGGTGGGATTATGAATGCATTTCTTTTTGGCAGTATTGGGTATGAACTCAGCAGGCACTCAATCACTTGGCCACACCTCTAGTCTTTCTTTTGCTTTTTTTTTTTTGTCCATCATGGGGCTTGAACTCTTGGCCTGGGCACCATCCCTCAGCTCTTCAGCTCAAGGCGAGCAAATCTACCACTTGACCCACAGTGCCACTTCCGGTTTTCTGGTGGTTAACTGGAGATAAGAGTCTCAATGGACTTTCCTGCCAGAGCTGGCTTTGAACCTCGATCCTCAGATCTCAGCTTCCTGAATAGCTACAATTATAGGCATGAGCCACTGCCACCCAGCTTGCTTTAGTTATTTTTCATACAGGATCTCACATTTTTTTGCCTGAATGGGTCCTTGGATCACAATTCTCTTACCTACGCTTCCTGTCTAGCTGAGACACAGATGTGTGCCACCACGTCTGACTTAACTGTGTTGAGATGGAGTCTCACTAAGTTTTTGCCTGCCTGGCCTAGAACTTCAGTTATCCTGATCTCTGCCTACCAAGCGCTGGGATTACAGGGGTGAGCTGCCTGCCCATGACTGCAATGCAAACACGCTCTAAGGTAATGCTCAAACCTAGCCCACACCTTTAAACAGCGAGAGCAAAAGCACTGAGGTAAAGAGGAGACAATCACCCAACTACTCTTATTTGCTGATCTACTTTCCTTCAGACTAGAATGAGAATTAAGTCATCCAAGAAAGCGTTGCATTATACTTTGGTTCTTTTTTTTTTTTTGGGTCTGGTCATGGGGCCTGAACTCTGGGCCTGGGCGCTGTCCCTCTGCTCTTCAGCTCAAGGCTAGCGCTCTACCACTTGAGCCACAGCGCCACTTCCGGCTTTTTTCTTTTTTTTGCTTATGTGGTGCTGAGGAATCAAACCCAGGGCCTCATGCATGCAAGACAAGCGCTCTACCACTGAGCCACCTTCCCAGCCCACTTTGGTTCTTCTTAAGTCTTTAACTCTTCTAGGAAGTGGAAAGATGGATTTAATGATGGTAAATTGCTTTCATGGACCCTGAATATAAAGAGGTTAACTTCATCGGGGTTTAGTGGCTTATGCCTAAACTCCTGGCTACTCAGGAGGCTGAGTCTGGGAGCACTGTGGTTTGAGGCCAGCCCAGGCAGAAAAAAACCCTCCTCAACTCACAGTGGGGACATCCTAAGCCATGTGGGAGGCGGCAACGGGGTGGATTATGGCTCCAGGCCAGCCTGTGCAAAGTCTGTAAGACCCCATCTTCACAGAGGGCAGCTGGACACAGGGCCTGTGCCTGTGCCCAACACTAATTCAAAGTTTAAAGGCCACCCACGTGGGAAGGAAGACCACCTCAAAAATAACCACTGGAGAAAGGGTTGGAAGCACAGCTCAGGTGGTAGAGTGCTTGCCTAAGAAGCCCAAGTTCCCAAGTTCAAACCTTCGTACTGCCCTAATCTACCTAAAAAAAGAGACTGACTTCACTAGCAGTACTTTTCTCTGACCTATATTTTCTTTAGAACTCTTCCAAGTTGGTCTCTTAAGAACAACAGAGCACATCTTAAGTCTTGTGTTAATCACTTATTGCTGCTAAGTACCACCATACTCTTTACCTTCCTCTGAAAACCTGTAATTCTTACCCTCTGGCTTATTTTCCATGCTCTGATATACCAGGAAATAACAGCCAAAAAAAGCCTAGACAGTCGGGCTGGGAATGTGGCCTAGTGGTGGAGTGCTTGCCTAGCATGCAGGAAGCCCTGGGTTCAATTCCTCAGTACCACATACACAGAAAAGGCCAGAAGTGGCACTGTGGCTCAAGTGGTAGAAGGCTAACCTTGAGCAAAAGCTCAAGGACAGCACCCAGGCCCTGAGTTCAAGCCCCAGGACTGACCAAAAAAAAAAAAAAGCCTCGACAGTCAGAAGACAAGTTCAATAGGACCCTTGGCCTGACACTCTGAGTGACCACCATTTGTATATACAGTACTTCTTCCCCTGGCTCATATAAGTCACAACCTCAAAACTGTCCTTCCACTGAGTCCCAACCATATTTCATAAAAGAAAGAGAACACCTGCCAAACGATGCCAGGTGCCACTGGCACACCTGTGACCCAGTGACTGAGAGGGTCCGACCCAGAGGACAGTGTTCTGAAGACAGGTCAGGCAGAAAAGCTCTCAAGACTCCATCTCCAGTCAACCAGAAAAGAGTGGCACAGAAGCAAAATGCCAGACTGAGCCGTGAGACCTGAACAAGGACTGGAGATCCTGAGTTCACGCCTTGGTCCTCATGCATACATGCACAAACAGGTCAGATACAACAGGAACCGAAGAGAACATCTCCAAGTCTTCTCAGTCAAAAACTTCACCAAATATGACCAGATGATGTCATGAGCATTTCAAATCTCAATTATTTAAAGACAGGAGATAAGTGTCATCTCTACAAGAGCTATTCTTGTCCCACAGGTGAAGATGTCCTAACTCAAAGATGTGAGTTCAGTTAGCAGTGGTGATTTCTCTAGTCATACCAATTCACTTGCTTCCTCTCAAATGAGAGTACTTCCCAGACAAAGGAGGGAATCTCCTAGGTAGAAGTAAAAGCAAGCAAACAAAAGAATTAGGAAAGCCTGTGTTACCATTGCTCATCTGCACGGAGGGAAGTTTCTTCTCATTCATCCTTTCGTGGTTGGTGGGAAAGGCAGCCTGCTCTCTGTCTATGGATGGTATCAGGCTCTCCAGGGCAGGGACCTCTTGGGGAGGAAGTGACAGGAATATCTCCTTGGGCATCTGCACCATGAGGCTGGAGAGAGAGTGGTCCAGAACGTCTTCCTCAGCAACGAAGGAATAGGGACAGTATTCGCGGTTCCTTGCATAGATGTTGGCGTTGTCGTAACAATCTGAGCATATTACCCGGGTACCAGGGACACCTGAGGACCACATAAGAAAGAACCACAACGTGTTTCTATTATGGACTGTGGTTGCCAGTCAACACAGGTTTTCTTATGCACTTACTGACCAGTGCAGTGAAGTTCAAGTCTGTGGATCAAGGAACTGTGAATGAGCTGTGAATGAACTTGTGCCATCCTCACATACCTTTATGAAGTTGGTACTGCTGCCCAACCCTCATTCTACACTGGGCATGACCACCAGACAGAGGAATACCTTGACTGAAGGAGATACTGCCAGAGGAAGGGCTACAATACTCAGGTTGATGTTCTAGAGCCCAGGCTCTCAAGTACTAGGGCAAAACATCTCTGTCCAGCTTGGAGGGGCCAAACTCAGATCAAGAGACCGTAGGCAGGGCTGGCACTGAGCTATAAGACATCTGCTTGGCCAAGCAGACTAAAGCGGAGAATGGAGAGTGGTGACTGTGCTTCATGAGATGTGGTATGTGCTTCATGAGATGTGGTATGTTTTGAGTCAAGAAGCAACACCTCTGCTAAAAATACCCCTAGTCAAGAATCCAGCTGGACGATGTGTGGGTGACTTGAAAACAAAAGGGAATGACTGTGTTAAAGAAAAAGTCACTCATCATCAAGCAACAGAACTTCTAAACAGGAGACAAACCCAGTACTAGGGAGGCTGAGACAGGAGGAGGGCAAGTCTGAAGCCAGCTTGAGCAATATAGTGAGTAACATTTCTCACAGATTTCAAAGATAATCTATTAAAATTCAGATATTTTCCTTTTCCTTTGAAAAGCTAAAAGACTAAAGACATCTCTGAAGAGCAAATCATTTGTACTGCATTTGATGTACAAGGATGTGTTGAAAATATCTGTAACAATCTTGGAGGAAATGCTGAATGGAGTATTGTTTCTTTGTTTTAAAATGAGCAAACCAGCCAGGTACAGTGGTACATGCCTATAATCCCAACACTCAGAGGGAGCAGGCAGGCAAGTCAAGAGTTTGAGGCTGGACTATCTATACAGCAAGACCCTATCTCAAAAACAAAACCAAAATAAAGAACAAACTAAAGTCTTAAGTAACTTGCTCTTGGTCACAAAGCTAGAAAGAGAACTAGTTAGCAATCAAATTGACCTTCCCATGTGAGGCAGGAGAAGCAGGGAAGGGTGAGAGATAGTACTGAAAACATTTTTCACATCTCTGATGGTCTCTGTTTTATTTAAATTTTACATAGCTCCACGTGCAGAAAACTAAAAGTGGACCCCAGTCTATCACCATGCACCAACATCAATTCAAAACGGATCAAAGACCTTAACATCAAACATGAATCTCTGAAACTACTGCAGGACACAGTAGGAGAGACACTTGAACTTATAGGCACAGGCAGGAACTTCCTGAACAGAGTCCCAGGGTCACAACAAATTGGAGAGAGACTTGACAAATGGGACTACCTTAAAATAAAGTTTAGCTATAGCAACCAAGCTAGAAAGACAACCAACTAACTGGGAAAAAATATTTACCAGCAATATATCAGACAAGAGGTTAATATCCAGTATATACAGGGAACTCAAGAAACGAATCCCTACCAAACCTAAGAAACCAATTACTAAATGGGCAAGTGAACTACAGAGAGACTTCTCAGAAGAAGAGATAAAAATGGCAAAGAAACACATGAGGAAATGTTTACCATCCCTGGTTGTAAAGGAAATGCAAATAAAGACAACCCTGAGATACCACCTTACCCCAGTCAAGAATGGCCCACATCCTCAAGTCAGCCAACGACACATATTGGAGGGGATGCAGAGAAAGAGAAACCCTATTACACTGCTGGTGGGAATGTACACTTATACGAACACTTTGGAAAGCAGTCTGGATGGTCCTCAGAAAGCTAAGTATTGATCTCCCTTATGACCCAGTCATACTACTTCTTGCATCAATCCTGAAAAACAGGAACCAGTATACAAGGACACATGTACCTCCATGTTTATTGCAGCACTGTTCACAATAGCTAGGATATGGAAACAACCCAGATGTCCCACCACAGATGAATGGATCAAAAACTTGTGGTATCTATACACAATGGAATATTATGCAGTCATTAGAAAGGACAAAATTTTTAATGACATTTTCAGGGAAATGGATGGAGCTAGAAGAAATCGTGTTGAGTGAGGTAAGCTAAGAAGAGCAAAGAGCCAAACAGCACATGGTCTCCCTGATAAGTCCAAAACGTAAGGTGATGCTACAAAATTAACAAGGCTTAAAAACAAAGGACTTTTACTCATCTGGTTGAATCACTACTAAATAACCCCATGCTACTGATCACATATATGGTATATATGTGCACACTGGAGGGAAACCAGGAAGACGACACAGAACTAGAGGGAATCAGGGAAAAACATACAACAGCAGGACCCATCATCTGTACTGGACTTTGATCAAAATGAACTAAGCAACTCAATGGCAGAGGGAACGAGTGGGAAAGAGGGAACAGGTGATGCTATGCAAAACAAAAGAAATGTACGTATCACCCAATGTGGAAGAAATAACTGTATTGCAAAGCTCATAGAACTCATAAATGTTATAGACAATTTGCCACATGAAAGTTAGAATGTGTTTGTGACTTTAACTAAGCATCACTATCCCACAATACTGTGAAATTTAGGAAACTATGTAATCACTTAGTCACAATAAAGAATGTGAAAAAACAAAAGATAACTCTTAGTGAACATTCCCCCTATGCCAGACACTGTTCGAACAGTTGTATGTGCTAACTCATTCTACACATAATTCACAAGGTAGCTAGAGGAACAATGAAGGTGACTGACTGAAGATCTTGACTGAAATTACTCAGCCAGTAAGTAGGAAACGAAGAATCTAAAGCAGAAACTAGTCCACTGAGAACCAGTAGCTTATGCCCATAATCCTAAAATACTCAAGAGGCTGAGACCTGAGTATCATGGTTTGAAGCCAGACCAGTAACACAAATCCAAGAGACAATGTCTCAATTAACCAGCAAAAAGCCAGAAGTGGAGGTGTGGCTCAAGTTGTAGAATCCCAGCCTTAAGTGAAAAAGCTCCAGGAAAACAAGAACCCTTGAGTTCAAACACCAGCTGTGCACAAAAAATAAAAGTCTAATACTATGTTGAAAATGAACTTTACAACTTTGGTGGTGGGGAGGGAGAAGTTGGGGAGATTGGGGAGGGAAGGGATAATAGGGGAAAAACAAAGGCAGGGCAACAATGCTTGACAGGAAATGTACTCATTACCTTACTCATGTAACTGTAACCTCTCTGTACAGTATTTTTACAATAAAAAAGTATTTAAAAAAAAAGAAAAAAAAACTTTACATAGCTACTTATCAGCAGGGGAATTAAATGTCCCTTAGATATGATCTTAAGGATGCTTATATCCTAAAAAAGAAGAGATTTTTGAAAATAATTCCTAGACCCTCCCCTTCCTTCCCTAAGAGAGATTTAGGAGCTTTGGCTCTGTATTCAATCTATAACAAATCATGTACTTCTCCTTACTATATCGTTTTCTTAAGACTTTAGTCAAATTTGCATCTATTTTGCGTGAGGCTAGGTATTTTTCACTAGGTCTCTCACTGTAAAAATACTGGCATAGGTTAATGGAGAAAGTACACACTGAGAAATACAATGGAATAGGGTGAAACTGTAACGAACTAGAAAATCCTTACCGTCAGTGCTTTTATGTACAAACCCATTGGCAGGAGGCATGAGCTGCTGGTGACTGCCAGCCTCAGAGCTGCTGTAGCCTTCCTGGGGTTCCGACAGTGTTCCTTGGGAGGACAAGTAGCTGGGAATGTCTGCAGGCAGATTGAGTTCCTCTGGAAAAGACATCATTTAGTCTCAAAGTTAGGCAGTTGAAGCCAACATGAAAAAGACAATTTTACAAATTTGTATTTGGCCAGGAAAAGGTACAGACTTGAGACCCCAATAGTTCTTTATACTTTTTCTAAGACTAGATTTTACTAGACTTTGTCTTCAAGTTTCACTTTAGAAGTACAGTGAGGGCTGGGTTTAGCATCATGGCATATGCTTGCCTAGCATGTGCAGACCCACACACCTCCCCACGCCGAATCCCCCACCCTGACCCCAAAAAAGGGAAAAACTAAAACCTGACCTCCAGTCACTTTCTCAATCTATCTTGCTGGGTATCTTCTCATCTTAGGGAGAACACTGTTCCTTATAGCAAAAGTATGATGGGACTGAACCACATGCACTAAAAAAGATGAATTTATAGCACATTTATAAACACATTTTTTGGGAGAGGGAAGGGGTTTGCAAAGTTTTAAAATTACTCCCCCAAAGAGGTTCTGTCATATCAAGGAAGTGAACATTTTACCAGGAAACCCCCTGAGATGTCATGAGACACTGCACCACAGGACCCCAGTTCAAGCCAAAGGTGGCCACTGGGCACTACTCACCTGTGTTTGTGATGCTATAGTCTTCGTTCTTCCTCCTCATGTGGTAAATAACAATGACCCAGATCACGGAGGTGCCCACCACGCAGCACACCACAACAATGATGACAATGCCAACTGTGGTCCAGCCATCATCTTCATGCCCAAGGCTGTTCTGAGAAGAGTCACAATTGAGGGACGAAATGACATTTAGGTAAATATGGCCGCGTTCTGTCCCAAGGGTGTTAGACATAATGCAGGTATATTTCCCAGCGTCCTCTTGCCCAGCGTCTACAATGATGAGAAGTTGGTTGGCCGCGGCAAAGAAGTGTCGTTCGGTGACCAGCAGTGGCCCATCGTCTTTCGTCCAGTTGAGGCGAGGGGCCGGGCTCCCTCCAGCTATGCACTGTAACACCGCTGTCTCACCTCGGGTCACTGTTTTATCCTCCAGAGGACGAATGAATGAAGGTGTTTCTAAGAGGAAGGAAGGAAGCAAAACAAATCAACTTAAGACAACTTTATTCTTGAAATCCTACTGAATGACATTGCTGAAGGTGTGGTGGTATGTGCAGTTCTGTATACTCATGGGACAATTAGGAGTTAATATTTCATTTTTAAAAAGTCTCAAAAAAGGGCTGGGAAGGTGGCTCAGTGGTAGAGTGCTTGCCCCTCATGCATGAGGCCCTGGGTTCTATTCCTCAGCACCACACAAGCAGAATAAAAGCCGAAAGTGACATTGTGGCTCAAGTGGTAGAGCACTAGCCTTGAGCTGAATGAAGAGCTGAGGGACAGCACCCAGGCCCAAAGTTCAGGCCCCACAATCTACATCTGAGTTGGATATCCACACCTGTAATCCCAGACACACATGAGGCTAAAACAGTCTTGACAACTAACCAAGATCCTGTCTAAAACCAAAGTGAAAAAGGATGAGGATCTCAGAGCTGTAGCAGAATACTTGCATAGCATGCATGAGATCCTGGGTTCAATCCCCAGTACACTCCCTCAAAAAGCAAAAAAAATATCTAAATCTGGGGCTGCAAGTACATTTTAATGGTACAACATTTGCCCAAGATAAATAAGGCTTTGTTCATGATTCCCAGCACTGTGTAAACAAAACAAAACCATAAATCTTGTCTCAATAATTTAGTAACTCAATAAATTTTTAAAAAGGAAATGTGAGCCGGGCGCTGGTGGCTCACGCCTGTAATCCTAGCTACTCAGGAGGCTGAGATCTGAGGATGGCGGTTCAAAGCCAGCCAGGGCAGGAGAGACCGTGAGACTCCTATCTCCAATAAACCACCAGAAAACCGGAAGTGGCGCTGTAGCTCAAGTGGTAGAGCGCTCGCCTTGAGCTGAAGAGCTGAGGGACAGCGCCCAGGCCCAGAGTTCAAGCCCCATGACCGACAAAAAAAAAAAAAAAAGGAAATGTGAAAATCTACCAGAAAAATGACTATGATAGTAGCTACATGGTATTTTTATGAAGACTTTATATACTACAATATTAAATGCAATAGACAGAATATGTTTAAAATCTTGAATGGTTTTTGAGAGACTTAATTTTTTGTAACATTTTTAAATAACAAGCCTTTTTCCCCAAGGCCTTATGCATGCTAGGGAAATGATCTATCACCTGAGCTGTGCTCCTAGCAAACATTTGATGGTGCTGTCCTTTTTTAGTCAGGATCTTGTTAAGTAGCCTAGGCTAGAATTAAACTGCCTCCACAATTTGAGTAACAAACTTTAACAAAATAATAAAGCAAAACCCCTGGCATCTAGGGAAATAAAGAATCGATAAGCAGAATTTGCCTTGGATATGAGTTCCAAGAAAATAATTTTAATAAGAGTGAGAGAGACAAGAAGCAAGCAAGCAAGCAAGCAAGCAGAGAGGGAGGGAGGAAAGGAGGGAGAGAGGGAGGGAAGAAAAGAAGGAAGGAAGGGAGGGAGAGAAGGAGGGAGGGAGAGAGAGGGAGGAAGGCAGGGAGGGAGGGAGGAAGGCAGGGATGGAGGGAGGGAGGCAGGGAGGGAGGACGTAAGATATTTTAGCTTGAAAAAAATGGCTAGGCGCCAGTCTCCTGCCTGTACTCCTAGCTACTCAGGAGGCTGAGATCTGAGGATTTGGGGTGGAAGCCAGCCTTGACAGGACAGTTCCCAAGCAGGGCAGACAGGAGACTCTTATCTCCAATTAACCACTCAAAAATAAACTGGAAGGAAAGAAAGAAAGAAAAGAAAGCAAAGACAAGACATTTTAACAGAACATAAGATTCTGACAAGCACACTGAAGGGGAAACAGAAAAATCTAATCAGAAGACAGGTTTTTAAATATTAAATTATTTAACTAGGAAAAATAGTTTTCCTAGGTTCTCTACAAAGCACTGTAAAATGATTAGGATACTTCTCAGAAAAAAAAAAGTAAACTCATTGAATAGAAAAAAAAAACAAATGAAGTAGAAATCTTGTAAATGGAGACTTAAAAGATAAAGTGATCAAGAGATCTGAATTCTGGGCAAAGATCTGTAACTGACCTATAACATCTCCTAGGTTTAAGTTATCTGACTCACTAACTTCCAAAGCAGAGAGAATCGTGTTAATGACAAAATTAAGAAGGTAAGAATCACAACCAAAATCTCAAAACTGTGTTTTAATTTTAAGCCCAAGAGTAGTTCTCAAAAGCCCAAACAGAGCAGGGAACGCACCTAACACTGTCAGCGAGGCATTGGCTGAGAGGCCTCCTGCTATGTTCTGTGCCATACAGCTGTAGATGCCCATGTCTTCTATCTTCACATTGGCAATGAAGAAAACATCGTCCTCAGGCATGACGTGCATGCGTCTTTCTCGGGCTGCAGGGAAGTCAGTACCACCATCCTTCTGCCAGGAGATCTGAGGGGCAGGGTGTCCCTCGGCAGCACATTCTAGTCTGGCCATGGCACCAGTGCGAATAGTTAAATCCATTGGCATCTTCAGAAAAGTTGGCATCTCTGTTCCGAAAAAAAAAAGAAGATCAAGAGAAAGTAGGTAGGGGGCAAGAGAGACAGACAGACAGACAGAGGAATCCAATAGGCAAAACAGCAACTACTGTGACGTCCCATTCTATTGCGAAGACATGCTCTCTGGATTGATAGTGAAGACAGCTTTACTTTTTTGTTGTTGATGTTGGTTGTGGGGCTTGACCTTGGGGCCCAAGCTCTGTCCTTGAGCTCTTTTGACCAAGGCTGGCACTCTACCACTATGAGTCAAAGAGCTACTCTTAGTTTTCTGGTGATTCATTAGAGATAAAGAGTCTCATGGACTTTCTTGCCCAGGCTGGCTTTGAACCATGATCCTCAGATTTCAGCCTCCTGAGTAGCTAGGATTACAGGCATGAGCCACCAGCACCTGGCCCTAAATTCCCTATATACTCCCTCACTTAAGAACCCAACAATACTTTCTAAACTAGCAACAGTTGTCAAGAGAACTCCATATTTTTAATTTTGTTATGCTTTAAAAACATTCAAAAACAAAGCAGCAAGATGGAAGTATAACTTTTGGCTGCACAAAGTCTAAAATGTATTTATATAATCTGATAGGCAAAAGAAATCAGATAATTTTGAAGAGGATTTTTTGGTTTCAGCAAAAAGACTCCTCATTTAAGAAATGATCCTTACAGGTGGATCCATTGCAACAATGAGATGTACAAGTCGTTATGTGGAAAAACGAACTTTACTACTTTGGTGGGGGGGGGGGGGGGGGGAGAATTGGGTAGGGGGCAGGGGGAGGATGGGATGGGAAGGGAAACAGAGGAGGCTACAATGCTTGATAAGAAATGTACTCGGGCTGGGAAGGTGGCTCAGTGGTAGAGCGCTTGCCTTGCATGCATGAGGCCCTGGGTTCGATTCCTCAGCACCACATAAACAAAAAGAAAATAATCCGGAAGTGGTGCTGTGGCTCAAGTGGTAGATTGCTAGCCTTGAGCTGAAGAGCTAAGGGACAGCGCCCAGGCCCAGAGTTCAAGCCCCACGACCGGACCCCCCCCCCCAAAAAAAAAGAAATGATCCTATGGGGACTGAATACGTGGTTTAGGTGGTGGAGTGCCAACCAATGAGTTAAAGTGTCAGCTACCAAGTTTGAGTCCCAGTCTCAGACAGAAAAAAAAGACTATGTAGCTACATTTGAGAAAATAATAATGACCACTGGACCCAGAAATATCTTAAGTATTCTCAGACAGTAGAATCTCTGTGAACAGCATTAGAAATGAATTTCATAGTTTTCACAGGTTTTGGAGAGAAAACTGAAAATTTCAAAAGCACAGATCAAGTGGAATTAACTCATTTCCTAGGGCAATGGACTGTATCCTTCAACCAAAGATCCATTTACTTGAGGGTAAATCAGCTAAATCCCAAAATCACACCTCAGTCTTTGTCAAGACATTAAGATTCTTCCTCAAAATTTTCTTGATCAAGAAATTTAAAAACTGGACATGAAAAACCCTTCTAAAGTCAAGAAAAAAAAATCAATCTAACTCCTTACCATTTATAGTCAGTTTAGCTTTCTGAGAGTAATTGGAGCCAAAGTGATTAGTAACAATGCACTGGTATCTTCCTTCCTCTGTGAAGTTCACCCCAAGAAGATGCAAGACGCTGGTGTACTCCAGAGCTTCCCCAGCTTGCTGCTGATAGCGCACAAAATTCTCCACGTCCGCATCACACAGGATCTCACCGTCCTTGCGCCACATAACAGACATGGGTGAGTCGCTGCTGCTCACTGCGGCACAGGTCAGCGTCACGTTAACGCCCCTTAGGGCGACTGTGGTTTCGGGATGCGTTCTTATCTGTGGCTTGAGAAAATCATCTGAGAGAAAACCCCAACAGGCAGCCAGGTCAGGGACTTACTTTTGCTTTATGTTCAACTGTAAAGACTGTAAAACTATAAATTCTGTTTATATAGTGAGTAGCATATTGAAGCAGAAAGATATACTAGAAGTAGAGTCTAATGCCCTTGTTTAAAGTCCAGAAAAGTCAAACAGCTTGCTTCAAGACACTGCATTGAGGCAGAACCTAATCTTAAGATGCAGCTTTTTTTCCCTACTGTCCTCACTGCTGTCTTGCTTAGAATGCTTTTTTTTGGGGGGGGGGGGGGGTGGGTGGGTAGAGTGGGTCATGGGGCTTGAACTCTGGTCCTGGGCGCTGTCCTGAGCTTCTTTGGCTTGAGGCTAGCACTCTATCCTTGGGCCACAGCACCACTTCTGGTTTTTGAGTAGTTAATTGGAGAGCACTCTACCACTGAGCCACCTTCCAGCCCCAAGCAGCATGGTTTAACAACTACTTATATAGCATTTACACTGAGATTATAAGCAACCTAGACATAACCTAAGTATCCAGGAGAATGTACATGGGTTATCTATAATACAACATTCTTTATATAAGAAACCTGAGCATCTGTGAGGTCTGGTATCCATAGAGGGTCCTGGAACCAGCCTTCTGTGGATACTGAGGGACAACTGTACTACATAAAGCTAAGAATCAGTCATCACACACTACACTTGAAAGGACATTTAAGTATCAGCAGTTTAGATATGTTCCTAAAAGGTTAAGTGCTAGAACAAAAGCCACCTTTGTCCATGACTCCCATAACCTCCCCCAAAACTCTCCCATTCTAGTCTTACAAAACATGCTCTCTACAACTCCTTCATATTAACAACAAATACAAAATACACGAATTAGTACATGGTTATACAAGTGCATTACAGCATTACTGGTGGTACTTAAAAATTCCTAGTGGCACTTTTCAAGATCTACTAAAAATGCTTTTTTATAAAAGTGTTGGTCCTGGGGCTTGAACTCAGGGCCTTGACAATGTCTCTGAGCTTTTTGAAAATGTGCTCAAAGCTAGTACTCTACCACATGAGCCACAACTCCACTTCTGGCTTTTTTGGTAGATAACTGAAGGTAAGAGTCTCAATGGAGGGGCTGGGAAGGTAGCTCAGCGGTAGAGTGCATGCCTTGCAAGCATGAGGCCCTGGGTTCCATTCCTCAGCACCACATAAACAGAAAAAGCCGGAAGTGGAGCTGTGGTTCCAGTGGTAGAGTGCTAGCCTTGAGCTGAAGAGCTGAGAAACAGCGCCCAGGTCCAGAGTTCAGGCCTCATGGCCAGCAAAAAAAAAGAGTCTCAATGGACTTTCCTGCCTGGGCTGGCTTCAAACCATGATCCTCAGATCTCAGCTGCCTGAGTAGGTAGGATTACATGCATGAGCCACCAGTACCCAGCTTTAAAAATACTTTAAAAAAAATCACCAGGCAATTCCAGGAAATGGAAACAAGAGGTTTTTCTTTCCTCTTTTTGTTTTGTATGTTTGTTTATCTGACTTAGGGGGAGAGGTAAGGGAGACACAGAAATGGAAGGACACAGGGTGAACAAATATAGCAGTGGTACTCAGTAGATACTATGTTAAAAATGAACTTGTGAACAAGGACTAGAGGGAAAAACTAGACAGCAGGGAAGGGGAGACATTGTCCAAAAGGAAATGTACTCATTACTTGACTTATTAAACTAACCCCTCTGTATATTACCTTTATAATAACAATTTTTTAAAACCTAAAAAAAAAACACCAGGTGTATACAGCACCCAGTGCCAGAGTTCAAGCTCCATGACCAACAAAACAAAACAAAAAACCCAAAAACTTTCCCTTCATGGGGCTGGGAAGGTGGCTCAGTGGTAGAGCGCTTGCCTTACATGCATGAGGCCCTGGGTTGGATTCCTCAGCACCATATAAGCAAAAAGAAAATAGCCGGAAGTGGTGTGGCTCAAGTGGTAGAGCGCTAGCCTTGAGCTGAAGAGCTGAGGGATAGCACCCAGGCCGAGTTCAGGCCCCACAACCGGACCCAAAAACAAACAAACAAAAAACCCCCACCAGGTTCTGGTCAAAGCCAGTCCATGCAGAAAAGTCCATGAGAGTCTATTTCCAATTAACCAACAAAATGCTGGACTGGAGGAGTAACTCAAATGGTGTAACAGTGATAGCTGTGGGTGAAAAGTGAAGCAAGAGCACGTGACCCTGAGTTCAAACTCCAGTAGCAGCATGTGTGTGCACATATACACGTGCCCACACACCCACACCCACATACAATTATAGTTATGGATACAGGACTCCTGCTACTGGGCACTTATGATAAAGTTAGCAATCCTCAGAAAGTAAAAGGCCAACATTCAGCCTGCTTAAAATGATCATCACGAGAAAAACCTGTTTATAGAGCATTAAGTCAAAGATACAAAATTTAACCTGTGACCATAAAGAAAAGTAATCACTGATACATGGTTTGAACTATAATACAGAAACACCCATGGATGCTGAGAATATTTGAGGTGTTTTCATTACTTTTCTCTTCACATTTTATTAAGATAGTTAAGTGAGGGATAAAGGTAAGGCTTAAGAGGTAGAACATTTTGCCTAGCAAGTGCAAATCACCAAAAAAAAAAAAAAAAAAAGCTAAGCAAATAATCTATAATACACAAAATTTTAAAATAAAAATACAAACCACAGACAAAGTCTTTCAGGTCCACTTTCAGTATGTTCTGCCCAGAGAGCCATTCTGGGTGTGCACACCTCACATTTACAGAATGGTGGAAGTTGTTGTCAACTAGCCAAGGAAGCAACCATTTCAAATGACAATCACAGAGCAGGCTGCTTGTGTTCAGAACACTGCAGAGAAGAAAAAAGGAGAAGTAACTTTCCTCAGCACTGAAACCTTGCTATACATTCACACATTTTTCTTGCCAAAAATGTTAATCTAACCATAAGAAGACAACGCAGACTGTTAGCTTTGATTCTTCAAAAATGTCTTATGTCACAAAAGACATCAAAAAAGGGGTATACAGGAGTAAGGGAACTATTTAAGGATGGCTAGAGAACTCTTACAAGCAAATACTATGAAATACATAGTTGGGATGTCTGTTTGTTGAAGATAGGGTATCACTATGGCTCCCATGCTGCTCGTAATTCCAGTTGTGTGTTACTGCCCAGCTCAGATGCATGGTTCTTTTTTTAAAATTAGTCATGGGGCTTGAACTCTGGGCCTGATTGCTCACAGCTCTTCAGTTCAAGGCAAGCATTCTACCACTTGAGCCACAGGGCTACTTCTGGTTTTCTGGAGATTTACTGGAGATAAAGAGTCTCATGGACTTTCCTGCCTGGGCTGGCTTTGAACCGCGATTCTCAGATCTCAGCCTTCTGAGTAGCTAGTATGACCCATGTGAGCCACTGGCACCAGGTTAGCTGCATGATTCTTGACGGGAAACAAAGTATCTAAATGGCATTTCTTTCTTTTGACTGGAAAAATTTGAGAATAGGCAGTATGTTAGCTATTATTTTATCGATTTTAATTTCCTTAGGTGTAATAATGGTGATATGGTTATAGAGAAAAATGCCCATTCTTAGGAAACACACTGAGATACTTAAAGGTGAAGTTTTATGTCCACAACTTTTAAATGGCCAGCAACAAAACAAAACAAAACCAACTATATAGAGATACACATATGTTCCTGTGGTGGACACAGCAAAGGTGAGAAAAGGAAATACACATTTGGCCAAAGGCTAATAGCTAATAATTGGTTAACTGGGGCATAAGGTATTTGTTGTATCATCCTTTAAATTTCTGAGGTTTTAACTTCTGAAAAGTTGGTCAAAAGCTAATAATGTAGTTTGGTGCACTGAGAGATCTTTGTTGCAGAAACTACATAATCATTTTCAAATTACTTATCAATACTAAAAGCAATTCAGCCCTGTCGCAATGTGTTCTAAACTTAATCTAAGAACTACTGAAATACTGAGGTCTATAATAGGCATACAAAACATTTGAAAAATCAGTGTTTTCTCTCTGTGACTCTTAAATGTCCTGTCCACTTAGATGCAGAGATTGAAAATAATTTGGGGAACATTATAACTCACATGATCAAAATCCTCATCTAGTTCTAAAGTTTAATAGAAAAAAAAAGATTTGATTTACTTAAGTATAGTAATAATAGTAATGGGCCAGAAATCTTTTTGAATTTGCCTTGAATAATTTTACAAAAAACCATCTTTTTAAAGAAGTTACTTTTAGAAGCCTCTCCTGACTAAGAAGGCAATCCAGGAACTGTCCATCAGTCTTCATCTTCAGAACTGTAAATTTTTGGAAATCCTTATGGAGCCCCCAAATAGGCAAAGGCATAGAAAATGAAGCTAGATTGTCTTATAACCAAGAAACAATATTTTCCCTTGTATTTTCACTCTTGGGAGCTCCTGAAAGTAATAAAAATTAACTTTGTTTCCAAAGAGTACAACAAACTGAAAATAAAAAGTCCCCAAATACTTTCAAGTTTCTGGGACTAACACTTGACAGGCAAAAGCCAAGAAACCTAAAATAAGGTATCAGATCAGTTTTTAAGGGTGCCTTAAAGTCAACCTCAGTTCCTTAAAACTATTTGATTGCATCAGATTTTATACATTCTTCTCAAATATGACTTTCCAGTCAGTCTTGGCAATACAACCATTGTGTCCTAATAGTACTCCTAATAGTAAATTTATGGAAGCAACTATACTGCTATGAAAAAAAAAAAGGTTTCTGGGTAACTGAAGACTTAAGAAAGGGGGGAAACTGTTTAATTTTGGTCACTAAAGGGTATACTTTGTTAAACTACTGTAAGTTACAGACAGCTTAAGAGAAAACAGAAAGGAATTCTTTTTTTTTTTTTTTGGGGGGGGGGGGGGGGTCTGGTCATGGGGCCTGAACTCTGGGCCTGGACGCTGTCCCTTAGCTATTCAGCTCAAGGCTAGCACTCTACCACTTGAGCCACAGCGCTACTTCTGGCTTTTTTCTTTTTGCTTATGTGGTGCTGAGGAATCCAACCCAGGGCCTCATGCATGCAAGGCAAGCGCTCTAACACTGAGCCACCTTCCCAGCCCCAGAAAGGAATTCTTTAAATCTGAAAAGAACCAGGACTCTTCCAAACCAAGAGCTGTGATTACCCTTCACTGGTTCATTGAACCTCACTGACTAATTCTTGTTCTGCTTGGTCCCTAGCTCACAGTTTTATAATTAAACCAGTTCCTTCATTAGAGTCGAGCAGACTCAGGTCTATTCCATGAACCTCTGAAAATGAAGTACTTTGGGACTGTTAACTGTTTGCAAAGCTTTGAAGAAATCATGAGGCTAAAACAGTAATTGCAAATACCAAAGTACTTAGAATGGTCATCGTTCAAAGATCTGATGAGTTTACCTGGTAAGTAGTCACTTTGTGGTATGCAATATACCAAAATTATGACTGGTAGCACCATGACAGATTTCTCATGAACAGCAGTTGACAAATTTCTATTAACTTGACATAACTTCTCAAATACTTGCAATCATACATAATATAAATATAACCTAACATTTAGCATCTTTTTTTTTTGCCAGATGTGGACTTGAACTCTGGGCCTGGGCACTGTCCCTGAGCTCTTGCTCAAAAAGATTGCACTTTACCACTTTGAGTCACAGCTCAACTTCTGGTTTTCTGGTGGTTAATTGGAATTAAGAGTCTCATGGACTTTCCTGCCCGAGCTGGCTTTGAACTGCGATCCTCAGATCTCAGCCTCTAAGTAGCTAGGATTACAGGCGTTAGCCACCGGTGTCCAGCTTAGCATCACTTTTGAAAGTAGCCCAGGCTGGCCTCAAACTCAAGATCTTCCAGCCTTTGTCTTCTAAGTTTATCACATAAATATTTACCACATAATATACCAAGTAAACCTATTAAGTTATATCTTTTTACAGGGTAAGAAACTAATTCTCTTTTTTTAAAGAAATTAATTCTTAATTTTTTCCCAGGAAAAGCCAGGACCCATGACATATACTTGCAGTTCCAGCTACTCAGAAGGCTAAGGCCAGAGAATCACTCCTATGACATAGGAGGACTGCCTCAGAAAACCAAGGGCTGGGGTGCTGCTCAGTGGTCGAAGGCTTGCCTAGCACATGCAAAGCAGGCCCTCGGGTTTGGACCCAACACCATAAAAGAAAAGACAAATTGATATGAGTCAGCTGGGTAATCTCCACGTTAACTTGAAGTAAGTACAATATAAGGTAGGGGCTGAAGACTTAAGCCTGTAATCCTAGCTACTCAGGAGGCTGCAATATTGAGATTTATAGTCAGCCCAGGCAGAAAACTCCTGGAACTCTTATCTCCAATTAACTAGCAAAAAACTGGCTCAAGTGGTAGAACACCAGTCTTGAATAGAAAAAGCCAAGCAAGAGCACAAGGCCATAGTTCAAGCCCCAGCACAACAAAAATAAGACAATATTAAATTTGATTTAGGAAATTTGCTAAGAAGATTTAAAGGTTTACACAGCTGACTGAACAGTATTATGGATAATGATAACCCATTTAACTAAAGTAAAAACAACTTACTTATTTTAATATTGGAAAGACTCAGTACTCTTAAGTAATCAATGACCTGACAAACCCAGACTTGGAGGTACACACCTGAAATCCAAACACAGGAGGATGAAGCAAAAGGATCAAGAGTTGAGCACTGTCCTGACTTACATAGCTGAACTCCTACCCACCTCCCTCCCCCGCAAAAAGGAAACCTGAAAAGTTAAACATATAGTTTTCTTTTCCTGTTATACCTAACATACATCAAGGAATTTTTTTTTTGGTATGTTTTGTACTTCTGCTGGATTTAGTTTTATAATCTTAAATATTTAGGAGCAATAATAAGGCTGACCAGTAAATTTAGGCAGAAAAAAATTGTATATCTGCATTATAGTTAATGTTGACAATTCTGAAGGCATGCTGTTTTTATTAAACCAACAATTTATTTATGAAAGACTTAACCAAGTCATAGGTATTTGAAAGGCACTACATAGTGTAATTTCTATATATCTGGGATTATTTAAACTATATTTGTGCTCATTTGTCTCTAAAATAATTTTTTTTTGGGGTCCGGTCATGGGGCCTAAACTCTGGGCCTGGGCGCTTGTCCTTCAGCTCTTCAGCTCAAGGCTATCGCTCTACCACTTGAGCCATAGCGCCACTTCCGGCTTTTTTCTTTTTGCTTATGTGGTGCTGGGGAATCAAACCCAGGGCCTCAGGCATGCAAGGCAAGTGCTCTACCACTGAGCCACCTTCCCAGCCCCTCTAAAATAATTTTAACAGAACTGCTTCTAAAGAATTTTGTAAGTTAATTTGGCAGTATCACATAGAGGTAGAAAAGTATTACATTCATAATACACACACACACACATACACACACACACACACACACACACACACACACACACACACACACACATACACACACACACAAATATACATTACCATATCAGCAGATGTAAGAGAATTTATAACTTTTACTCTAAAACTTTAGATATTCATTAGTAAGACAGTAATATAAACTATTTGTGCCATCATTTATCCAAATTAATTCTGTCAAAAAATGGAGAAAACAACCTATTTTCCAAAATCCTAGTCCTCTTTTTATTCATGGTTTTTGCTTTTTACCGTTCAGTTATCTACGGGCAATGGAACTCAAAATATGACATGGAATGTTGCTATCTTAGTGTGACAAACTCTCATGCGCTCCCTCCATCTATGCTGTCCACTGGCATATCACTTAGTGGCCATCCTGGCTATCAGATCAACTACTGCAGGAGTGCCTGCTTGTGTTCAAGTAACCCTCATTTTACTCAATTCAACAGTGCTGCAGAGCACGGAATGTGGAAGGACGGATTAACTCTTCTACTTGAGGCTGCAAGGGTATAGTAGGAGAAAATAAATTGTATATATTCAGTCTGACACTACCCACAATTTAAGGCATACATTGGGGGATCGTGGAACATTTCCCTGGTCCACATTTCTTTTGCTGTGATATATATATATATATATATATAAAATGGAGCCTGAAGAGACATCCAAGAACACTAAGGTTAGATAAAGTATTCAGACTACTTCCTCTGGATGTGTTTGCTTCCCAGCCTCTAGGGGTCTCTGAGTCCTAGGAAAGCCTACGTTAGAGGGCCTGCCTTTCAAGTGATTGCAAGATCACTTGCAAGGGAAAGGATGAAAGGCAGAGAACTTGGAGATAGGTATTTGCAGAGGGACAAGATACATGAAAGGATCTAAGGGACCTGAAGGGAGGATGAAAAGTGGTGAGTATGAGGAGGAAGGAGGAGTAACAACGGGAAGCGAAGGTTATTGTTATGTGCCAGTCAGAGGAAAATGATAAAATCTCCCCAACAGCTGGGAGACTTTCCACAGAGGCCATTAAAGTTCTAATAAGAAATCAGCGTTAGTGGATAGAAGAGGAGGAAATTCAGATCACAGAGAAAGCAGAGGGCCTTACAGAGGACCAGGAAACATTTTTAGCCAAGGAAGTCAAAGGAAGGAGATGCCAGAAAGAAGGCTCCCACAGCTTGGCAAAAAGAACTCTGGGAGCTTCAGAAACTACTCAGAATCAAAATCTCTCCTTACCAGCTCCAATGGACTTTTGTCCAAGGCTATGGTTCTACCAGTCAGACTCACCATTGGATCCCCAATCAATCATTCAGGAATGAAGACAAAGTCTTCAAAGGTGCATACTTTGGAGTCCTGGGTGAGAGGTCTGGGGGTCCAATGATGAATCTTATACCACCATGACTGTTAAAGAAAAAGTTACTCAATGACACTTGTTAAAGCATGGTAAGGCAGATTTTAAGGCGATCTCTTCACATATAGAGACCACTGCAATGGGATTTCAAGAGGGAGCTGAGAAAACTGATCTCAACCTTAAACTGGTCTAAACCGTCAGCCAATGGGCATGTGAGAGTTAGTAGATGGCAAAGTACTAGGAAGCAGATATAATCAACCTAACACAATTCTTGTTGAAGACAGGCTAGTGATCAAGTATCACTTGGAGAATGGTAGAGGAAGAACCAGATCACACCACAAGAACAGCTGAAATTAACCAAATGGTCCCACTGGAAGGACTCTTGTTAAACTGGTTTGACAAGATAAAGCTGATTTGAGGGAGAAAAAAAAAAAGGCAGGAATTCAAAAGCCTGATTAAAGTTTGGTCAAGGAAAGAATCTTTTTCACAATTTCCAAATGAATCTCTAGAGATTGAAACCACGTATTTTCCTTCAGCAACTATTCTAAACTATGCTTAACTGTGTTTTTTTGTTTTTTGTTTTTGCCAGCCCTGGGGCTTGAACTCAGGACCTGGGCACTGTCCCTGAGCTTCTTTTGCTCAAGGTTAGTGCTCTACCACTTGAGCTACAGTACCACTCCGGCTTTTTCTGTTTAGATGGTGCTGAGGAATCAAACTCAGGGCTTCATGCATGCTAGGCAAGCACTTTACCACTGAGCCACCTTCTCAGCCTAAACTGAGTTCATATAATTTCCTTATTGGCCAAAAAAAAAGGGGCAAAATTAAATTGCATTAAGTTGCGCCCTTACAATTAAAGTCTAGGAAAAATAATACAAAAATATCTTGTGACACTTACGTTTCTCCAGTTAGTTTTTTTGGAAGAGGTTTGGTGCTGGGGATTGAACTGGAAATGAAAACACTACGTTGTGGCCTGCACTCTGCCCTTACCCACACCTCCAGCCCCTTCTGACTTGTTTTTGGGTGGGGCCCCTGGCTGTGGTTCTCCCACCTGTGTTGTCCTGTGTGGCTGGGAACCACAGGCCCAGGTCATTGTGCCCGACACTGTGCTTCCCCTGCAGTGGGGTAACAGGAGTGTGCCACAACACCAGCCCTTGGCAGAGATGGAATCTTACACGTTTTTATGCCGAGGCTGGCCTCCAGCCTCAGTCCTCCATCTCTGCTTCCCAAATAGCTAGGATTATAGGCAGAGGTCACCATCCTTGGTTTAATGATGGTTTCCACAACATTTCAAGTTTTATAGTTACTCAACTGTATGTAAGTCTCAGTGCTTATAGTTACTCAACTGTATGTAAGTCTCAGTGCTCAAAACCTTCAAACTTAAAAAAAAAAAGGTCAGGCCCCAGTGATCACACCTGTAATCCTAGCTAATCAGGAGCCTGAGATACAAGAATTGAGGTTCAAAGCCAGCCCAGGCAGGAAAGTCCATGTGACTCTTATCTTTAACCAGCTAAAAGCCAGACATAAAGCTGTGTGGCTCCAGTGGTAGAGCACACCTTGAGTGAAAAAAGCTGAGAAACAAGCTGAGCACCAATGGCTCACACATGTAATTCTATCTACTCAAGAAACTGAACTCTGAAAATTGTGGCTGGAAGTCAGCCTGAGCAGAAAAGTCCATGAGACCAAGATCTCCAATTAACCAGCAAAAAGCTGGAGATGGAAGTGTAGCTCAAGAGCCTTGAGAGAAAAAGCTAAGGACAGCACTCAGGTCCTGAATTCAACCCCTAGCACAACACCAAAAAAGAAAAAAAAAATCATACACAGAGATATGAAATGCTATTTTTACTTATCAGCTTTGATCATTTTAGTAATTTGAAAGTATTATTTGATAATTATACAGAAAGTCCTGAGTCATCCAAGTCACAAACTAGAGAACAAAACTAAACTAATAATATCTTCATTTTAACCCACACAAAGGGCAAGAATTGGGGACATGTGTTTCTGAGATAATAGGGACAAAGGGGGAAAAAGAACTGAATCTGGTGCTTTCTAAGCTTTCCCAATCATAAGCACCAGCTTTTCAATATTTCTGTTTAGATGGTGCTGAGGAATCAAACTCAAGGCTTCATGCATGCTAGGCAAGCACTTTACCACTGAGCTACCTTCTCAGCCTAAACTGAGTTCATATAATTTCCTTATTGGCCAAAAAAAAAGGGACAAAATTAAATTGCATTAAGTTGCACCCTTACAATTAAAGTCTAGGAAAAATAATACAAAAATATCTTGTGACACGTTTCTAAACTACATTCCTCCACTAAAATAACTAATTAATAACATGTTTTTCTCCTTCGGCCTGAACTACACATTACTGGAAACACAAGCACGAACATAGAAAAAAATGTTTTAACGAAACCAAACCAACCCAAACACCATTAGTCACTTACAGTTCTTTCAAGGGAGTCTGAGAAAAAGCACTTTCTTGGATAGACATAATAGCATTGTTGTTCAAATCTCTGAAATGACAGAAATGAAAAATTATGAGTCACCATTTCTACAATTAAGTTATATAAACATGTTTGGGGGAGGGCAATGGGGGACATGAGTGGAGGAAGAGTACGTCATTACATTAATGTACATTATGTAAAAACAACCTTGTAACTTGACAGCTGGGGTGGAGGGGATGCAGGGTAGAACAAAGAAGGGGTAACAGTAACCAAGAAACATTGTCATAAACCTGACTTACGTAACTGTAACCTCTTTGTACAACTACTTAAAAATAGAAAAAAAATTTTAAGTTATACACTTTACATACTTGTAACAACCTCTGCTAACAGCAAAGGTGATTTATACAGTCAACAGATATATGCAAAATACTTACAAATGTTCAAGGGACTCAAGGCCAAGAAATGCTTTCTCTGTAATTGACTTAATCTGATTTCCTTGTAAGATTCTGAAATAAAATATAACCCATTAAATATTTACTTATAAAGTAAAAATAAGTGTTCATGCTGTGTGTGTCTTTTTTAACAGCCTTACTTGGGTGAAATTGATAAAACATTACAAACATTTAATGTGTACAGTTTAGTAAGAATATACATTTTAAGGATGTTATGAATTTGGAGCTGGGAAGGTGGCTCAGTGGTAGAGTGCTTGTCTTGCATGCATGAAGTCCTGGGTTCAATTGCTTAGCACCACATAAGCAGAAAAAGCCGGAAGTGGTGCTATGGCTCAAGTGGTAGAGCTCTAGCCTTGAGCTGAAGAGCTGAGGGACAGTGCCCAGGCCCAGAGTTCAGGCCCCATGACTGACAAAAAAAAAAAAAAAAAAAAAGAATGCTATGAATTTGTGAATCTATGCAAAACCAGAATAAAGGCTTCTATTAAGATGTCAGTAAGATCCATTTCTTGGTCTTAATTAGATGCTCAATCAGATCTGGTTCCTACTACATTGGTTCTTACTAGCTTGTGTGTGTGTGTGTGTGTGTGTGTGTATAGGCATGTGTTCACGCACATGTGCAGTACCAGGGCTTGGTCTTAACTAGGTGCTCAATGAGATCTGGTTCCTACTAAATTGGTTCTTACTAGCTTGTGTGTGTGTGTGTGTGTGTGTATGCATGTGTTCACGCACATGTGCAGTACCAGGGCTTGAACTAAGGCCTTGGCTTTTGTTTAGCTTTCATGCATATAGATGGTCATCTACCAATGTGCTACAGTCTAACATTTTGTGGGTTAATTGGAGACAAGAGTCTCAAGGGACTTTTTATCTGTTCAGACTGGCTTCAAACCACAATGGCCTGTTTTAATTTTTTATTTTTTGCCGGTCCTGGGCCTTGAACTCAGGGCCTGGGTACTGTTTGTGAGATTCTTTTGCTCAAGGCTAACACTCTACCACTTGAGCCACAGCACCAGTCCCGTTTTTTTTTTTTTCTGAGTGGTTTACTGGAGGTAAGAGTCTCATGGACTTCCCTGCCCAGGCTGGCTTTGAACTGCAACCCTCAGATCTGAGCCTCCTGCATAGCTAGGATTGCAGGCATGAACTAGCAATGTCCAGCTTATTTTTTTTTTTTTTGAGAGAGAGTCTGGATCTTACTGTAATGAAACAAAAACAAGGCTCTGGGCATGGCATGGTTTCAGTGGTAGAGTACCTGCCTAGAATAAAAAAGATGTCAGTCGATAAAGCACACTGACACTAAAGTGACCACTAATAAACCTGTGGTTTGCCTATGCTAGTTGGGCAACCATTTCTTAACAAGAGATCAAATAAATTCAGACAAGTGTGAGACTTTAGAGAAATTCTTATGAGGATTTAAAGTGCTACATGAGAGATTCTTCACTAGACACATACTCATCAATATCACACAATTCAATACACTATTAGTTAACTACAGTATGAGTACACCTCTTTTAATTGAATGAAAAGATTTTAGCTGCTTAACCTCTCTTTAAGGGTCTGTAAGAATGCTTTATCAATTTTTTTTTAAAGAAGAGCCCACTAACAACCAATAATGACACACCATTGATTAAAAAAAACAAAGCTCCTGCCTTTAGGAGATAGATCATAAGGCTCAGACTTTCTAACTGTATCAAATAAACACAATCTAATCACATTTACAACTGGTTCCTGAAAATATATCTTTGCAGACATACTCAAGTATAACGAATACGTACAATTCAGTGAGACTTGTGAGTCCTGCAAAGGCTTCACTAGCATCTTCAATGGCCCATGAAATTTCATTGTTTCTTAAGTCTCTAAAAATAAAGTCATAGAAAATCAGGTTATGTTGATCAATATGACCCTCACACCCTGGACTGGCAATGCCATGGGGCTTGTGCTAATTCTGACCCACATTCTTAACAGTTATTAATGATTACGTGAAAACACACACACACACACACACACACACACACACACACACACACGATGTACACACAATATACATAGTCTAAGGGACTACTTAAGAGAAGAAAGGGAAAATAAAAGCAGAAGGTAAATAATTGTGTGAATAATTCTGAGAAACTAAAACTGTATATTAAAACAGCATAAAGAACCTCACTAAAAATTGTTGATTCTTAGGCAGTTGATGGGGAGGGAAAGAAAAACAGGCTCTATTGGTGGGGGAGGTACTAGCAAGGAGGGGTTGGGCTAATAGCCCAATCTACTTTACCTTTTTGGTAAAGTAGATTATACATGAAAACAGAACCAGGAAAACTGCTGAAATTGTTCTAGGAAGAGGGTAAGGGCAAGTGACAGAGTGAGATTGACTGAATACTGGCAAGGAAATGTCAGTGAAATCCCCTTGTATAGAGCTCATGTTTGCTAATAAAAAACAACTGATGATAATGATTCAGTCTGGCCTTCTAAAGGAAAATTTGTAATAAACATGCAAAGGACGATGTTCTCAGAAGCATTAAGCTAACCTTAATAAATAAATTAAGCAATCTGATAATAGTATTAATCTTCCTAGCTAACAGCAGCTAACTATGTGAACATATAAAAAATTATAAATAGGGACTTGCAAAAAGGAAGACAGAGCAAATATTGCTTACAAACCCAATTTCAGAATCATGAGATTTCTGGGTAACTCAAGCTTCCCTACTGGACCTCAAACTTAAGATGACTGACAAAAAGCATTACTGAACTTTGCAGTTCAAGAGCCATTTCCATGCCTCTAAGGAAGAAAGAATGCATGCTAAGCACTGAACCAGGTGCCGGTGGCTCATACCTAAGAAGGCTAAGATGTGAGGATCCAGATTCACAGCCAGCAAAGACTATAAAGTCCACCTCCAATTAACTACCAAAAAGCCAGAAGTGGAGCTGTGGCTCAAATGTTAAGAGTGTTAGCTTTGAGTAAAAAAGCTCAGGGATAGCTCATAGGCCCTGAGTTCAAGCCCCAGGACACACACACATACAGACACAGACACATACACATACACACACACACACACACACACACACACACAAACACAGTACATATCTTTGTAGCTTCCTAAGGAAGCAAAAAACTGATTTGTAAGACATACACAGTTAACTGGACGCCATAGCTCAGGTCTATATTTCTACTCAGGAGCTGAGATCTAAGTTTGAAGGTTTAAAGCTAGCTTGGACAGAAAAGTTCTTAAGATATCCTCTCTACTTAACCAGATAAAGCGGAACTGGCTAATTAGAGAGGATGGTTCTCAAGTGGTAAAGCACCAGCCAAGCAAGCATGGACCCTACTAGGTTCAAACTCTGGTATTGGAAAAACAAAACAAAAAAACCTGCAAGCATAAAGTTATGTGACTTACAGGTGATCTCTCTCTTCCTTAGCCATCTTCACTTGAAGTGAAAAGCTAACAAAGCATTTCATTTTACTAAGGAATAAACACTGAAACCACCAGTGGCTCAACTCTCCAGACTAGAGGTAGGGTTCAAGAGGTAGATGAAACCAGGTGAAACTCCAATACTGCCACACAGAATAAGTCAGATTTAATCTTTATACTACCTTAACTACTTCAGTGACACTAGATGGTTACTTCCTTAATTACTTTCCTAAACTTTAACTCTGTAAGTGATAATATACTGAAAGTAAAACTGTTTGTTTGACATTCTCAGAAGTGTCAAAAGGCCAATCTGAATCTAATATGTTTCTAAGTTTGTACTAATCTAGTTTCAGTTCTGATACAGGAAAGGGGAGGAGAAATCACCTTAGTCTTCAAGGCCAAATCTGAAGGATGTTACAGAAAGAAGAGGAGAGGAGGGGAGTCACTCAGACTGATACCTGGCTGTGGACAAAACTAGAGAGAGCTCTGGCTTCAGTGACTGTCCAAAGACCCAGATTCATTCGCTAGCACCACCAAACAAAACAGAAAACAAAGACTTATGCAGCTCATTGATGGTTAGGTCCCAAACCTGGAAGCCTAGCAGTTTTCTGAAACCACGTATGATTCCAATTCTGAGGGCCACAAAGTCTCCTAGCAAAGAACTGATCAGAACCTACAAATTCACACCAGGGTTGTAGGTCAGTGGCAACCCACATGCCTACCAGGCACAAGGCAATTATGTATCACCAGCACTGCTTGTCCAGTAAACACATTTGCAAATTTAGCCAAGCATGGTTGTACAAGACTGTAATTCCAATACTCAAGAGGCGGAGAGACAGGAGTTCAAGATCAGCAAGAATCTGTCTTAGAAAAATAAAACCTACAATATCTACTATCTTGTTTTCTCTTATTTTGCTGTTTGAAAGGACTACATTTCATTAAAATTCCACTTCATAATCAAAAACAAAATATTCGGCTTTTATGGAACCACCAGATTTTAGAGTTGAAATTTAGTTTTACAACCATGTTCATATGGATGTTTCTGCATTTCTTCTTTCATGGATGAAGAAACAAAGAAAATAATGCCTGTAAAAAGCTATAAAACTGATCTGGGTTCTAATTCTGGTCCAAACATCATGCAAATTAACCCCTCAGACCTTATCCTACTAATATGAAAAGGCAATAATATGCTGGTGTCTGGGAGCAAATAGAATGCTTGCCTGGCACACACAGCCCCTGGGTTGGATCTCAACTCCCTTCCCTTCTCTCTCCCTAAAAACCACAAACATAGTCATGTAGCAAACTAGTAACAGTAACCAGTTTTAATGTTCATATGATTAACTTCAAGTACATACTCACGGCCTACTATAGGTGTAAAACTTATGGAACAGACACAACAGTCTTGCCATGTGGCACAGGGCTGAGAATAGCAGAATACATAAATCTGAAGACTGATTACTGGTTTTAATTTGCTTTATTTCAGTGTGTGTGTGAGAGTGTGTGTGTGTACTTGGTTCTGGGGCTTGAACTCAGGGCCTAAGCTTCCTTGCTCAAGGATAGCACTCTACCACTTGAGCCACAGAGCCACATGTGACTTTTTTGGTGGTTAATTGGAGATAAGTCTCATGGATTTTTCTGCCTGAGCTGGCTTCAAAACTCAATCCTCAGATCTCAGCCTCCTGAGTAGCTAGGGATTACTGGCATAAGCCACTGGCACCCAGCTTTTACTTGTTTTTTAAAATGTACTTACAGTGTCTGAAGATTAGAAAGAAACCTAAATGCACCGTCTGCAATGTGAGTGACTCTGTTGTCTCCCAAATTCAATCTCTCCAGTAAGCTCAGACCCACAAAGGCAGACTCTTCAAGACGGGCCAGCTGGTTATAGGACAAATCTCTAAAAACAAGAAATATGGAAGGTAAATAAGGTGCTATATTTTGGCTCAACTTACAATTTTTCCTATATCATCATGGGGAGTTTAGCTTCCAATAAGCTTCAAGGAAAGACAGATGTTAGATGTCTTTATGGCCATGAGAGCTATTTAATTCAACCTGTTCTAGTCCACAACCTCCAGTGATGCCACCCCACACTTAACAGGCCCTCCACTGAAATGTCACCCAACACGTACAGCTCAGACAGTCTTTGGCAGAACTCCCATGCGTCAGGGCTGATTCTTTCAATAGCATTCTGGCTCACATATAACTGTTGTAACATTCTCAAGCCATACAGCCAACCTTTGTTCACTCCAGTAAGGTTATTGTGTTCCAGTTCTCTGTAAAATTAGAAAATGGAAATAAGTAAAAACAAGGCATTTTGAGAGCAAAATCAATTTTTTTACTAGTCCTGGGGCTTGAACTGAGGGCCTGTGCTGTCCTGGAGCCTCTTTGTGCTCAAGGCTAGTGCTCTACAATTTGAGTCACAGAGCCACTTTTGGCTTTTTTTTTTTTTTTTAACTGAGTAGTTTATTGGAGATAAGAGTCTCATGGACTTTTCTGCCCAGGCTGGCTTCAAACTGCATCTTCAGCTCTCAGCCTCCTAAATAGCTGGGATTATAGGCGTGAGCCACCAGTGCCCAGTGCAAATATAATTTTAAATCCTCATGTACTTTTGATCAACCCAAGTAACACATTCAGTTCTATTTAAGATTTATTGCTAGAGATGAAAAAGTATCAATGCTACAAAACCAGCATGCTAAAGTGGTATAGCATTCCTGTTCCAGATAATTTCAGATAGTTTTCACCAGTCAAATCATTAGGGATATAAACTTTTTTTTTTTTTTTTTTTTTTTTTTTGGGGTCCGGACGTGGGGCCTGAACTCTGGGCCTGGGCGCTGTCCCTCAGCTCTTCAGCTCAAGGCTAGCGCTCTACCACTTGAGCCACAGCGCCACTCCGGCTTTTTTCTTTTTGCTTATGTGGTGCTGAGGAATCGAACCCAGGGCCTCAGGCATGCAAGGCAAGCGCTCTACCACTGAGCCATCTTCCCAGCCCGGGATATAAACTTTTTATATGACAAGTTTTTTGAAAGTCTTGATTTGGTTTTTTGGTGCCGTCCTAGGGCCTGGATGCTGTCCCTGAGTTTTTTTTGTGCAAAGCTAGTTCTCTACCATTTGAGCCACAGCTCCACTTCTGGCTTTTTGGTGGTTAACTAGAAATAAGAACCTCATGGACTTTTCTGCCAGGCTGGCTTCCAATTGTGATCTTCAGATCTCAGCCTCCTGAGTAACTAGGATTATAGCACCAAGCTCTACATGAGAAGTTTCTAAGAACAATGATAAAAATATCAATTAGCAGGCTGGGAAGGTAGTTCAGTGGTAGAGTGCTTGCCTCACATGCCTGAGGCCTTGGGTTCAATTCCTCAGCACCACATGAACAGAAAAGGCTGGAAGTGACACTGTGGCTCAAGTGGTGAGCGCTCATCTTGAGCTGAAGGGGACAGTGCCCAGGCCCAGAGTTCAAGCCCCATGACTGTACTAAATAAATAAATAAATAAGCTAACAAAATTTGGAAGCTTTATGTAAAAACCAGGTAGTGTGTGGTAGAGTGTGTGCTTAGCATTGTGAAACCCTAAGTTGACTCTCCATCACTAAAAAAAAGTTTTACATATACTTATTTCACAACAGAGAATAGAGAACTAATGTACCTTTGTATTAATTAAGCAGCCATTCTAGACATTTAGCACTGAAAGGTCCCAGGCAGACTCTATTCCTGATAACCCTCTATTTTAGTGTTCAGTACTTACAGTTCTTCCATGTTATTCAAACCAAAAAATGCTCCATCCTTAAGTTTGCTAATTCCATTGCGCTGCATTTTCAAAGATCTTAAGGAATCAAGCCCTTGGAATGTAAGACCTTCCACAATTTTAATCCGGTTTCTTTTAAGTTCCCTTAAATAAAACAATTCTAGTCAGAAAATTGGTTTACTGAAATGCTCTAACAATAAGTGAGAAGCAAGAGACAAGTGAAAGGAAAAGCTGTCTCCTGACAATCCATTATTTAGTTACTCACAAGAACTGGAGGTGGGGCAGCTTGAAGATCTTAGGTGGAATCATGCTAATCCGGTTCCTATTTAACTTTACCACTAATAAGGAACTTGATAAATTATCAAAGCAACCAGCCTCCAAAGTGGTTATTCTATTATTACTCAGATTCCTAAAATGAACAAAATAACACAAAAGAAAAAGCTTTAGGTAAAATTTACACTACTAAAAAGCTGCTCAAAGTCTGTAATTGAGCTCTGGCTCTATCACTTTACTATATACAACTTTACACATCAGTTAATTGCTTTTTTTCTTTATTTACAAAATTAGTATGACAAGTCTGGGAGTGTGGCTCAGTAGTAGAGTGCTTCCCTAAAATATATAAGGCATTGGCTTCAATCCCCAGAACTGAAAAAGTATGATACTACTTTATGTAGGTTGTTATGTAGGATTACGTGTAAATAGGCTTTCTTTGTGTTTTAAGTTCTTTCACTTACTTTGTGTGTGTGTGCCAGTACTGGTGCTTGAACCCAGTGCCTAAGCTTTTTCACTCAAAGCTGGTGCCTTGAGCCTCAGCTCCTCTTTTGGCTTTTGGTAGTAGAGAGAAAAGAATCTCACCTGCCCATGCTGGCTTAGACAGTGATCCTCAGGTCTCAGCCTCTTGAATAACTAGGATTACAGGCATAAGCCACTGGTGTCTGACTAGTGAATAGGCTTTATGAACCAGAAAACACTAGCATAAATGCTAACTATCATCATTATTATACAGGGCAAGTTACTGTTTATTAAATAATTCAATCATTCCTATTTACCTTTTATAGAACTGCTGATTAGGGCTGGAAGTATGGAGGTGAGGTAGAGTGCTTGCCCAGCATTTGCAAGGCCCTGGGCTCGATCCTCAGCACCACAAACCAATTAGAAAAGCTGCTATTCTTTAAAAAAAAAAAAAATCCAGAACTGGACCTCAAAGTTTGCTCTGGATGCCTATCAATGTTTTCTAACCAGTGTACTCTTTCTTCTGGAAGGAAGGTGGGAGACCAGTAATCCAATGACCCAGTCCTGGGCTGGTTTACTACACGAATACCAAAATCACAAATAAATAAGACATTTGAGGGAAATTAGGTACCAATGAGTAATAAAAAAGTACTTAAAATTCTGAGCACATTTCTTTTCATTACCTTACTTATATTACTATAACCCCTCTGTACATCACCTTCACAATCAAACTTTTAAAAAATAAAAAAATTTAAATAAATTAAACTCATTTTACTTACAAGTACTTAAGCTGCATTCGAGGGAAGGAAGATGTCTTGATTTCTGATATTATATTGGAACTGAGGTCTAAACTCTCAAGAGCAGGGTAAAACTGGAATGCCTCTGCATTTATTTGTGGGATTAAGTTATGAACTCTACAAAACAAATATTATAGTAAAGCTGTTACCAGTGATTCGCCATAGGCCACAGGTCATTAAGTAACTCTGATCAACAGAATGGGTACTTTTTAAAAAACAAAGAAAAAAATCCTGTATCTATTCAGAATTTAAACAAGAGATCTGAAATCTTAATTACTTACAATGAAAGTAGAGTAATATTAGTTGTTGGTTCTCCAAAATATGGAATTTCAGTTAGTTCATTATAATTCATTTTCCTATGAAAAGAGAAAGAGACTTAAAAGCTTAATAAAAGAAATGCTTTCTGCCTCTCAAATTCTGGTTTCTGCCTAATATATATTATTTAGGTAGGAGCCAAATTTGAAAAGGTCTATGACTTGGGGTTTGACTAAGATAAAAATGTTATTTATCTAGAAATTATACAATTTAATAAGAAATGTTTTAATAATACTGGTTATTAAAATATTAGGAAGGCTAAAAATATTTCACATTAAATAATTTTAGTATCAGCAAAGTTCTCTGAAAACGTGCATTTATAAATTGAGTCCTTAAAGTATAATTAAGCCCACCCAGATCTCTCTCTCTACACACACACACACACATTTTTATTGTCTTCAAGTAGTTGTAACATACACTCTTGAAAGCTATTTAAAGTTAAGAAGGCTGCTGAGGAACACAGGAGGAATTAACTCATCCATGCAGAGACAGAACCTATGAGTAATTTTATTACGGTATGCATGATATGCTTATTCTTAGCTACCCTTTCAACACACTGTTTCAAAGGTTTCAGGAACAAATCTAAGTCACATTTCATTAACCTGGTTTGTAATCACCAACAAACTCAAAATCAGAAAAGAAACCAGAAATAAATGGTTTATAAGAAACGAGTTGAAGTTACAAAGTCATGCAACAAATCTCCCCAGGGAGGCCTTTCCTCACTGTCCATTCTTTCAGCTGTGTATTCAGTTTATAAGAAAGTAAAAGCAGTATATTTGGTGCCAGAGAGAAAATAATACAGGGACAACAGGACTCAAAGAAGTTATCCTTTTAAAAGGAGGAGTGGAACAGGGGGAGTGGCAGGGGATGAGGCTGATCAGGACACACTGGTTCCACATGTGGAAACGTCCTAAGGGCCCCCCCCCCCCATATGCAATGTGTGAAATCAAAATTTAAAAACAAAATCTTAAAAATTAAAAACAACTCAGAGTTCTGAGGGTATAAAGAGAAAAGCAGTCTATCAACAGTTGCATCCTGGAGAACATCACAACACAATAACTGATACTGTTAATTTTTTTTTTTCTGTTGGTCATGGGGCTTTAACTCTGGGCCTGGGTGCTGTCCCTCACCTCTTCAGCTCAAGGCGAGCACTATACCACTTGAGCCACAGCGCCACTTCCGGTTTTCTGGTTGTTAATTGGAGATAAGCGTCTCATGGGCTTTCCTGCCTGGGTTGGCTTTGAACCACAATCCTCAGATCTCAGCCTCTTGAGTAGCTAGGATTACAGGTGTGAGCCACCAGCTCCCGGCTTACTGTTAATATTTTATAAAATAAGCATTCTGTAGGCTGATGCAGGAGGATCTGAAGTCTAGCTGGAACTATATGGTTAGACACTGACTCAAAAAGAAAAGAAATGCCAGGTGCTGGTGGCTCACGCCTGTAATCCTAGCTACTCAGGAGGGTGAGATCTGAGAATTGCAGTTCAAAGCCATCCCAGGCAGGGAACTCTTTGAGAGAAAACCAGAAGTGGTGCTGTGGCTCAAGTGGTAGAGCACTAGCCTTGAGCTGAAGAGCTGAGGGACCGTGCCCAGGCCCAGAGTTCAAAAGCCAGGCCAACCAAAAAAAAAAAGAAAGAGAAAAATGTCAGGCACCAGCGGCTCATGCCTATAATCCTAGCTGATCTGAAGACTGTGGTTTGAAGCCAGCACAGGCAGGAAAGTCTGTGAGACTACCTCCAATACACTTCTAAAAATAGCCAGGAGAAAAGCTGTGTGGCTCAAGTGATAGAGCACTAGCTTTGAGCAAAATAAGCTCAGACAGTGCCTAGGCCCTCAGTTCAAGCCCCAAGACTGGAACAACAACAATAAAAAGAGGTGGGGAAGAGGGGAGAAAAGATACAGAAAAATTCCTTCCCAAATTATACATTACATTTAATTAAAGGAAAAACCTCAGCCAAGAGGGAAATTGATTCTATCAACCACCACATTCTCAAGTAATAACCCAAATACTCGCTTTCTTACAAATAACTTTAGATATGATGCTACTATTTTAGACAATTTATCACAACATTTAAAAAGTTTATACCATACAGTTTCATTAGCTTGAAACTATGACAAAATAATAAAAAAAAAACTTATTCCCAAGAGGGAAGAAATTTTATTTCTGGTTTCAGAGAAGCAGAATATTTCTATACAATTTGTATCCTGAAGTCACCAACTCAATACCTTCAGTGTATAATAAGAAACAAAGACAACAGTTTAGGTTTCGAAGTAATATAATTAACCAGTTTCCCTCATGGGTAAGCGGGTAAACAGAGTGGTGGAGGAGTAACTAGTTAGGTTGTGAGCAGGTACGAAAGTAGAACACTGAAACTCATTGGAAGTGTTTGGGAAGGGAAAGAGAGAGTGATAGAAGGGATGAGACTGAGGGGAACATGCTTTAACCTGTGAAAATGTTAACAGTGAATAAGGAAAGACAGACTATGTAACTACATTAAAACAATGAATAATGAAAAACAAACTATGTAACTACATTAAAGAAATTCATTTGACAGCATCTCTAGATAAAATATACTCAAATTCATAATTAAATCACTTCAAAGAATTTAACATTAAGTACATAAAATAACTTACACTTCCTGCAGTGTTTGTGACTCCAAGCTGATATTCCAATTAGACAATCGATTATGACTCAAATCCCTGAAGGAAAGAAAATCATTCTAATTTAGTGTTGAGAGCAAACTTAAAGGAAAAATAATAGTCTGGTGATTTAGCTTAGTGAGAGGTCTTCCCTAGTATGTGCCAGAATCTGGGTTTGATCCCTAATTACACAAATAGAAAGAAATTTTTAAAAAGCAACTAAACTAAAATAGGCATAAAAGTCTTATTAAATATGAGCTTGTGCCAGGCACTGGTGGCTCAGAGAGAGAGAGAGAGAGAGAGAAAGAGAGAAAGAGAGAGAGAGAGAGAGAGGGAGAGAGGGAAAGAGAGAGAAAGAGAGAGAGAGAGAGTTTGTGTAGTACAGATTGAAATGTTTACGAATAGAAATGTATCTGGAACCGGAGGCAGCCGGCTCATGCCTGTAAATACTGGCAACTCAGGAGGCTGAGATCTGAGGATCACAGTTAGAAGTTAGCCGGTGCAGAAAAGTCCCTGTGAGACTATTGAGACTATTATCTCTAATTAACCATTCAAAAACTGGAAGCAGTGCTCAAAGTGGTAGAGCAGCTAGCCCTGAGTAAAAGAGTTCCAGGACAGCTCCAAGCCCCACGACCAACAACAATAAAAAACTTATCTGGGTTTCAAAATACATGCATTATTTTTTTAATTTTTATGTTTTCGTCAACAAGGTTCAATTTTTTTTTTTAAAGTTTAAGAGCCAGGCACTGGAGGGTCACACTTGTAATCCTAGCTATTCAAGAGGATGGGGTCTCAAGATGGAGATTCAAAGCCAGCCCAGGCAGGAACATCTGTGAGATTCTTATCTCCAATTAACCACTAGAAAACCAGAAGTGGCACTGTGGCTCAAGTGGTAGAGAGACAGCACCCAGGCCCAGAGTTCAGGCCCCATGACTGACAAAAAAAAAAAAAAAAAAAAATTGAAGCTTAGTATAGTAGTGCATACTTTTAATCCCAGCACTCAAGAGAAAATGGAACCAAGAAGGATACAAGTTCCAGACCAACCTATCTCAATAAAAAAACTGGAGGGGTTGGAGGTATGATTCAGGTGGTAGAGCACCAGCTAATGAGCAAAAAGTGTCAGGTACTGAGTTAGAGTATTGGTGGAAAAAAGAGAAAGGATCTGACTACAGGGATGTGGTTACCCTAAAAATAACTATCTAGATTCACGAGAGGGAAATTCCTCTCATCTCAAATTATGGTAATGATGACCACAGGTGAATAACATTTATTAAGTAACATGCAGTCTTCTTCTCACATTATAATTAACTAGCTTAATTCACACAACTACTTTGTAAGGCAAATGCTTTTATAATCTTCACTTTAAGAAACATGCAGAGATCAGTAGCTTGTCAATCCAAAGTCACACAACCGCAAGTCAGGAAGCCATAAGTTCAAAATGCTAATGCCACCTCACCTCCAGCAAGGATATTTCACCCAAGTAGGTCATGGAATTCACCTGGTTCCTGGCACCTATAAGCTGAGGGAGAACCCAACCCACACATGCTATACAATATGGCTAGCAGAAGGCACACAGTGGAGACACATCTTAGACTAATGTAGCTCCCTGTGCAGCCACAGGCACCAAAGACACAAGCTGTTTTGATGTCTGAATCACAGCACAGCAATTTGCTCTCAGCTAGATGTATGCCTGCCCATCTGTAAACTGCGTCACTTTTATTTATCTTTTTTTTTTTTTGGGGGGGGGGTCCGGTCATGGGGCCTGAACTCTGGGCCTGGGCGCTGTCCCTCAGCTCTTCAGCTCAAGGCTAGTGCTCTACCACTTGAGCCACAGTGCCACTTCCGGCTTTTTTCTTTTTACTTAAGTGGTGCTGAGGAATGGAACCCAGGGCCTCATGCATGCAAGGCAAGCACTCTACCACTGAGCCACCTTCCCAGCCCATGCATCACTTTCATTTAGGGCTTAATTAACACCATGGAGTAACTAAGGTGATGTTATGCCATTGCTTTCCCACAACTGTTCTAGGACTTTCATTACAAGGTATCTGGCATGAAGTATCAGAATGAAGGTCTGTGTTGGGAAACAGGTAAGGATATGAATTCAGTACTCAGTAGGCCCTACATTAAAATGGGAGACAGTGAAGGGGTGACATTGTCCAAAAAGAAATGTACTCATTACCTGACATATACATCACCTTAATAATAATAAAAAATTTAAAGATATTAATTCATTCCACGTAGTGGGGCACAGCTCAAATGGTAGTGTACTTGCCTAGCAAGCATGAGGCCCTGGGCTCAATCTCCAGCACTGGAAAAAAATTAATGAAAGTGTATTTAGGCTGGGAGTGTTACCCAGCAATAAAGAATGTGCCACTAGGCACTGGTGGCTCACGTCTGTAATCCTAGATACTCAGGAGGCTGAGATCTGAGGATCATAGTTCAAAGCCAGCCTGGGCAAGAAAAGTCTGTGAGACTCTTATTTCCAATTAACCACCATAAAACTGGAAGTGGTGTTATAGCTCAAAGTGGTAGTGATAGCCTTGAGTGTAAGAGCTCAGGGACAATACCCAGGCCCTGAGTTCAAACCTCAGAACTGACAAAGAAAGAAGAAAAAGAAAAAAAAAGTGTGTTGGGTTCAATTACTCAGCATCAACAACAAAAATCTTATATTTAGATGCTTTAATCCAATTTATATTTGCTACTAAACAACAAACTCCTGATTTCAATCAAGTGAATATAGTTTTGTTGCTGTTTTTAGGCCTGCCTACTCAGAAGGCTAAGTTCTAAGGATCAAAGTTTGAAGTCAATAAAGTCCATGAGACTCTACCTCCAATTAACCAGCAAAAAGGTGAACTGAAGTTGTGATTCAAGTAGTAGAGTACCAGCTAAGAATGGAAAAGCAGAGCAAGAGCAGAAGGCTGAGTTCAAGCCTAGGTACCACCACGGGGAAAAAAAAAAAAAACAGCAACTGTTCTACTTGAAGTCACAGATTTCCCATGACAAATAAGCAGCTGGGCAGCAGGCTTGACATGGTATGCTGTAATTCTACATCCTGTGGCTATGAACACTGTAACATCCCCTCCTCCTAGAGTGGGGGTGTTCACATTAATCTAAGAGGCCTCAGAACACCTTCCCTAAATCCTACAAGTGTGACCCTCACAGAGTTCTTTCCTGTGGGCATCGCTCAACACTGATAACCACAACCAGATAATTAGTATTAAAGCAATAAAATAAGCTCTATTGACAAGACACATGGTATGAACAACTTTGTAGCCAGCATTAGTGAAAACAACAGAATCTCTCCTCTGGAGGAAAGGGTAGTTTGATGCAGCTATGACGGCTGAGCCTCGAGTTTTAAAGACACACAGGCTGAGGCTGGGAAGGTGGCTCAGTGGTAGAGCGCTTGCCTTACATGCCTGAGGCCCTGGGTTTGATTCCTCAGCACCAAATAAGCAAAAAGAAAAAAAAAAAGCCGGAAGTGGTGCTGTGGCTCAAGTGGTAGAGCACTAGCCTTGAGCTGAAGAGCTGAGGGACAGCACTCAGGCCCAGAGTTCAGGCCCCACCACTGGACCCTAAATAAATAAATAAATAAAGACACACAGGCTGTGGCAAACGGCTCAAGCTCACAACCCCACAGAACCTTCTGAACCAGCCTACCAGGATGAGATGAAGAGACATCACTAGTCAACTGAATATAATCCCAACACTGTACTACCACAGAAAGCTTCCAGCATACAGCAGTAGAGATGCCTGAAAAAGTAGGTGTCTAACCAGATTACATGATCACCAGACCAATTTACTGGAAATATGATAGACGATGTGAAATTCACTATGCTGAGTGGTAGGACTTCAAACATCATCTACCAGTAATCTTTTTCTTTTTCCCTAAAAACAACATCTACCTGTAATTATTCCAAAATTCAAGAAACTCAACAGAAACTTGTTTTTTTCTGTTCACTGGAAATGTATAAATTAATGTGTGTGCACTGAATCTGGCACTTGAACTCAGGCACAGGTGCTGTCTCTTAGCTTTTTTGCTCAAGATTAGTGCTCTATGAGTCACAGTTCCATCTAGACTTTTTGGTGGTTAACTGAAGGTAAGAGTCTCAAGGACTTTCCTGCCCAGTCTGGCTTTGAACTGTGATCCTCAGATCTCAGATTTTAGTAGCTACGAATACAGGTGTGAGCCACCTGGCACCTGGCAAACTTCTATATTTTTGTTTCATTTTGGAAGTGAATCGCATGACATGTGCGCTTACAGGAGTACACACATGCTTTCATTTTCCATACTCATGACTTTCTTGTTTCTTTTCCCCCTTGAGATATGTGTCTCATCATGTTATCCAGACTGGTCTTGAACTTGAGTACTCAAATCTTTCAGCCGGTGTTTTTCTTTTTTTTGTCGGTCGTGGGGCTTGAACTCTGGGCCTGAGCACTGTCCCTCAGCTCTTCAGCTCAAGGCTAGTGCTCTACCACTTGAGCTACAGCGCCACTTCCCGGAGCTGGTGGCTCACACCTGTAATCCTAACTATTCAGGAGGTTGAGATCTGAGGATCGCGGTTCAAAGCCAGCTCGGGCAGTAAAGTCTATGAAATTCTTATCTCCAATGAACCAGCAGAAAACCGGAAGTGGTGTTGCAGCTCAAGTGGTAGAGCTCTAGCCTTGAGTTGAAGAGCTGAGGCACAGCGCCCAGGCCCAGAGTTCAAGCCCCACAACCAATAAAACAAAAAAAACAAAAAACAAAAACTTTCTGCCTCAGCCTTCTGAACAGCTGGGACTACATGCAGACACCACATTTCTTTTCCTAAAAGTACTCTAAAAACAGAAGAAAATGAAAATGTGAAGATTTCCAATATCAAACAGAAAACCCACTGGATACGCTGAGGGTACAATGCAGAGGCAGAACATTGTGGGCCTGCACAAGGCCCCAAGGGAACCACTCCTTTACACACACTGGGGAAAAAAGTTTGTATCGGTTTTTAAAACTTGGAGCCGCTCTTCACCTACATACTTGTGACTCCAGCACTTGAGTGAAGAGGCTGGCTTAGGCTATACAGTAA